AATAAAACATTTTATAAAACATTATGCCCTTCCTAACAATCACTGAACTTAAAAATAATGTATATTAGAGGAATGAAAAATAATAATTTGTATATGGGAAAAAACGCCACACTCTGGGGAACAAGAATATATCATCAGAATTTATTTTGGTCCGTGTAATGTTGAACAAGTGAAGAGCGTAAAATTTTATATTTTTTTCCAACGTTTTCATTTTTTTCATATTTTAGGCAAACTTGTGACTCGTATATCTCTGTAAAGGAATAGTCGCGAGACCTAATTTTTTTACCATAAATATAGCTCATCAAGTTCTACAAGATAAAGATGTATTCGCTTAATTTCAAGGACCCTTGTGTTTTTGTGGGAGAAACCCCATGGAATAGGCCAATATACTTTGCTTGATAGAAACTATTTTTCTTGTTTATGTAACCAGATGAATTACTCTTACAATGGTCATTTCATCAAAGAACTACATGATAGATATAATCCAAAAAGAGTAAGACAGTTTTTGCAAAAAAAAAGCTCTGTTTTAAAATTTCTCCACTGAAGGACGAAGATCAAGTTCTTGTGTCCATGTTGAACGAGGTTGAATATGTAATTGCCAATATGTCTCAGCAATCTACAACAAATTAAAGTTCCAATCAATAAGAGAAACACAAAAGCCAAAATGCTAAATAATTCATACCGCATCACTATTAAGAAATGTCTCAATATCTCTGTCAGGTTGACCTAAACAAGTAATCAATTGTTACTTTTTTTAGACTGGATAAAAAAAGCTTTTACTTTGAACTTGACTAGGGGTATTAATTTGTCCATCAATAATTATATGAGCAACATGAATACCTTGTGGACTAGACATGTGCGGGACCAAAAAATAGAATTTTACTGGGACCGGGACCAGGATCGAAAAACAATTTAGTCCCGGTCATGTTTGCCGTTGATAAGAAACATCGGCGGAAATACAAGTGAGAACTGCTCCAGATCTAAAACCGGCAGATTCCGCAACAACTTCTCTGACTATGGACAAATAACAGAAAAAGTAAGGTTACTTAGACTGGGTGTAGAACAAAAACCAAATTTAACACATTCGACGCGATTCGGTTTTATTAAAGAGTAGCTCTAGAGATTCATTTTCGTCTGCATTCATCTTGCGATAAATGCACTGCTTGGTCTTTTCATCCTATGCTGATCTGTCGTTTTCTCTTTTCCATTTGTAATATCACATGTAGCGAAGTAACCATTCTGTAGTTTGGCGAAACCCCTGTGAGGTCATTTCAGCATGACATGCCATTCGAGAAGTTGAATCAGCAACCCAATTCAAGCGCGAATTCACTAATCGCAAGCTCGAAGAAAAGGAAGGATTTAAGGGCAATGTCCGCAGACGCTGTACTGGCTGCTTTGCGAAAGGAAGGGCACAACAGTCAAGAGAAGCGAGCTATGCGGTAGCAAAGAAAGTAAAAACGTTCTGTTGTGAGTAACAATTTTTTTTGTCTTGATTTTTTTAACAAGACCCATCATGCTATGGAATAACGGACACAAAAAGAGTTCTGAAGGCAGAACAGATAAAGCTTTATGTTCAACCTCCTGTCTAAGAACAAAGAAAAATAAAGTACTTTTCTATACAGTTTCTCGTTAAAATGTAGCGTGGCTCACTGTTAGGCCACATCGTAGCGAATGTGTTAACTGAGCCCAGGACTAAAAAACAGAATTTCACCGGAATCAGCAGCAAAAGGAAAATTTCCACCGGGACCAAAGGAAATTTTCCACCGGGACCGGGACCGGGACCAAGTGAAAATTTTCACCGGGACCCAAACCGGGACCAAAAAAAATTTACCGGGACCGGGACCGGACCGGGACCAAAAATTTAATTTCACCGGGACCGCGACCGGGACCGGGACCAAAAAAAGTTGGTCCCGCACATGTCTATTGTGGACCTAATTCACGAGCCATTGATTGAGCTAATGCACGTAAAGCAAATTTTGCTGCAGCAAAACCAGCAAATTTAGCTGAACCACGAAGACTAGCCGTAGCACCAGTAAACAATATTGTTCCTTTTCCATTTTTAAGCATGCTTGGAAGAACCTAACGAAAAAATTTAATCAAAAACAATCTTTTTTTTTTCTCATTTGCATTTACTTCTTGGCTGGCAACAAAACCACCTACAACACATATATTGAGTGCATTTTGAAGTTCTTCAGGTTTCATATCCAAAATACTTTCTTTAATATAGAATAAATTATATTTGATTAGAAAAATAAAATAAAAAAAAAACTATTCAATTTACTATAAACAAATCCACTAGCATTGTATAATAATACTTCAGGATCATTTCCAAATTTTGTTCGAATTGTATTAAAAGCATTCTTTAACGATGATACGTTACTAGCATCAGCTGTAACACTCAAAGCTAGAACATATAATATTTATGTTAATATCAATATATATATATGTGATAAGAATAAAAGTTAGATACCTGTATGACCTTGTTGTTCGAGTTCTTTTTGGACAGGTTGTAAACTACTTTCTTTTCTGGCAATAAGACCAATTGAATAACCACCAGCTGCAAATCTTTAGAAAGAAAAAGAAAGACGTTGATATTAATTAGATATTATAATAAGTGATCTAAAAGTCTTTGGAAAATGTCATACTCGATTAGATCACATTGCCAACTTCTAGACCAATTAAATTGGTTTTTTTTGTTAGAAAGAGTTATATGTGAACTATATATTTTGCACGAGATATAGTTTTTCAGAATGTATCTAAGAAAGAAGAAACACCTCTTAAAAAAGTTCTTGCAACTTCATCATCACGCAACATTATTTTTCTATTTCTTGTTAAATTCTTTATGTCAGAAGTACAATGAAAAACATAGTTTAATCATGACTTTAACAGTGGAAAGAGTACTCTTTCTAATGATGTATCGGAAGTTAAATTTATTCTTGGTTTTTTTACCAAAATATAGTTATTTCTGAAAGAGAATGTATAAATTGGTCGTTTTTACTGTCTGATCATTTTGCAATAATAAAAAATATTTTTTTGAATTGGTTTTTTTTGCCTGTTAAGTATCTATGATTTGACATATTTTGAACAAATAACGCACAAAGAACTTAGTTCATGCATGGTTTCTCGCGATTGTGGCTGATGTCCTTCCAAAATGATTGTTCTTACAAAAATCTATTTTACAAAATATTTTAATTTCCAAATTTTTTTGATCAAAGAGTCAAGAACGGGTCTAGAGAAATTTTACCAAAGCAGATATCGATTGAACTTTTGATACAATATATTTTAGTGAATTTTCTTATTGGAATTTGGTTCATGTAGCTCAAAATAATTGAGAAATAGAAATTATTCAAGTTGCAAGAACTTCTCTAGAAGTATTTGGTTTTTAGCTATTCTTCCTTCTTAGATTCATTCTGAAAAAATACACCTCGTACAAAATTGGTTTAGACGTTGGCAATATGATATAACAGAGTTTGACATGTTTCCAAAGACTTTTGTATCGCTTATTAAATAAAATTATACCTTTTGACTAATGATGCTCCTAAACCTGGACCCACACCTATAATTATAATGAATATTAATTCAAGAAAAAAAAATTATTTTTCTATTGTCTCTTACCAATAACTACTGCAATCGGTTTTGTTGATGCCATTTCTCGTATTATTTTACTAATATATCTAAAATCAAAGTATTACATAGCTTTTTATACCTTTTAATAAAAGTGCAGTGTCATGTCATGATGACGTTTGCAAAAATGTATTATTGCATTGTTAGCAATTATAGATGTGAGAATAGTTTTTTATTTTCTTCCATAAATTTTTTCACTAGATCAATTACTATTTGTGGTTGTTCCATTGGAAAAAAATGTGTAGAATTTTCTATTTGTGTGTCTCGTCCTTTTTGAAACCATTTTACAAGATCAGGTGCTATTGGTGATGAATCAAATTGACCTATACTGTATGGAAGTGATGCTCTTACGATATGTATTGGAATATCTTGAATAAATTTTGATTTTTTAATAAACGGATAAATGTCTGTATCAGTCCGTATACTTGTTTCATATATTGATGCTTCTCCATCAGGTGCACAAACAAGTTGAAAATTTTTATCAAGAGCATAAGTACAATAATTACGAAGAGTCTCTTGTGGCCATCGTGAAAATGGTTCACGTTTTTCTAAACTTAATATCATATCGTCGATAGATGACCATTGAATTTTTCGACGACGAATATAGTCTAAAAGAGATGAATAACTATTATAGTCTTAATACATTGAAGGAGGATATATAACGGGATCGAATAAGAGTAATGCTTGAAATAGTCGCCTTGGTGCTATTGCTGCAGCACAAGTTAAAGCATATCCACCCACAGAATGACCAATACCAATAAGATTATCTTTATTAAGATTGAGTGTTTCAATGAATTGTAAAACATCTTCTCCATGCCATCGAATATGATAAGGAGGAGGATGTATTTGTGATTGACCATGACCACGTAAATCTAAAGCAATTACATGAAAATCATGTAATGCTTCACTTATAATACGATCATAACATCGACCATGAAATGAAGCACCATGACAAAAAAGTATTGTAGGTTCATGACCTTTCCATTCCCAATAATGAAGTTTCAATGGACCTTGATTTATTATTTTACCACTCTTCTGAACAATTGGACGGTTAGGTATAATAATAAAATGACTAGTAGGACTCGAAGACATCAGCGACAAAAAAAAAGAAAGATAAAATTAGAAAAGAAAACTTGTTAATCTAAAGAAGTTCATTTAAAGACAAATAAACAATAAAAAAGCAACAAAAACTTTCAATTATTAGTACAGCAAAACAATGAACTATACAAGATATTGAATCAAAATCTAATTCATTACCAATCATCTAATTTAGTCAAATGTTTCGAATATAATTCATCACTTTCATATGTTATCGATTATTCATGACATTTATTAACAAATTCATTCAAACTAATTTGATGATATATATATATATATATATATATATGAAAAGATTTAAACATGTTAAAACATCAAAATAAATACATGAATTAAATAAGTAATGAAGAACAAAACCTATATTTATATTTGTTAATTTTATTCAAAAACAAAACCATGTTAGATTAATACTTTTCAAGCAACAGCAAAAATGAGCAATTTTTGACTATAAAAAAAATGTTCACACGAATGCATGCATGAATAATATATTGCCAATGGAATATAAATAATAATAACAAACAGAATAAATATAACACTCATATCTTATATTTCAAAAGTATCGAAAAAATGAAATAACGATGAATATAAAATATTTAATTATAGTTCTGATTGATCAATTAATTTATGTTTAATTAATAATTTTTGTATATCAGGATAAATTTGACGAATACGTGTGTCTGATGAATATGCTTTAATAACTTTACCATTTGGATCAATTAAATATTTTCAAAAACTCCAAGATGGTGGTTCAGTTTTTTCTAAAGAAAAGCAAACAAAAATTCTTAATTAAAACAAAGATAAATTTCTTTACCACTTAAAAATCTCCAAACATCTGGTAATCCATTATCATCGTCATCATTTAGTCGTATAACAGCACCTTTAGCCAAAATGGGAAAATTAATATCAACCATAGATTACCCATGTAAAAATTTTGGATTAAAAATTTGATTAAAAATCGATTAAAATGGCACGATTTTAATCAGATTTTAATCGGATTTTTTAGGCTTGAAGACGGATTTTATGTGATTTTAATCTTTTTTTAATCTATTTTAATCGATTAATAAACCTAAATCAACTAAAATCGATTTTGATAATTAGTTTTAACTTATTCAAGCTTATTAATCGATTAAAATAGATTAAAATCACATCAAATCCGTCTTCAAGCCTAAAAAATTCGATTAAAATCTGATTAAAATCGTGCCATTTTAATCGATTTTTAATCAAATTTTTAATCAAAAATTTTTACATGGGTTGAGCCCATGATTGAATTTTGTGCATCATCCTTAATAAATAAAATTGAAAAAAAACCAATATTTGATAAAAATTATTTACTTTAGGTTCTTAATATCCAAATTGATTAGTAGGAAAAGCAAGTACTTGAAAGATATTTCGACCACCAACATTGAGTTCTTGTTGAAGACCAACAAGAGCTTCAAAATGTTCATAAGTAAGTGAACATTCACTAGCTACCTATTTTAATTAAACAAATATTTTTTCTGAACAAAAATGAAAACTTTGTACTGATAACCACATGTCAAAACACAAATTATCTTTTATCACCTATTTACTTTTCTAAATATTTCTTAACTCATTTACTTTACAAATATTTAGTTCAAAACAATAAAAATAGTATTTCTTATTAGCCAGATTTTTAATTTTAATTCTCAGCTGTTGTCAATTGAAAATATCAGAATTTCTTGAATGATCCGTATCATATGATAGATATGTAAACAAAAGATATTGATAGTTCTACTATTCTTAATACTCAGATTCAAGAAGCAGCGCTGTAAATGATAAAAAACCCAGTGTCATTACGTCGCTGTTTTCTGTAAGTTCGTAAAACGGAGAAAACCGTATGTTAGAAATACGGTAGAAGTAATACACCGTTTTCAATGGTTGGAACAATCGCTCTAAGTAACTAGAGATGCATCAATCCCAATCTTAGTTTTTGAATTTGAAATAAGTCTTGAAGAAATTGGAATTGAATAATTAATTTTGGTCAATATGTACAAAATTAATAATTCTACAACATCTAACTCCAATTCTTCAAATTGGTCCATCCTTACTAATAACTGCATATAATTCTTTATAGTAATAGAACTTACATTAATAACCAATGAAACCTAAAATAAAATAAACATTTATTGTTGTTTGTTTTTTTCTTCGTATAAAATATCTTACCTTTCCACGATACTGTTCTAATGAAACATCATTTCCTTGCCAATCTTTGACTGTAAATGAATAAAAATCTTCACAAATAACATTTGTAATAACAATAAAAAAGAATCCAAATAGAAAACATCTGAAAAATAAACATTTTATCTGACAGAATAGAACAAAAAAAAATCAGAAATTAAATTCCCGTTTATCGATTTCAAAAAAAATTTTTTAATGATTTTCCTATTGTTTTATTATATTCTTCAAAACGTTGTTTTGTTGTTTTTAATAAACTTTCTATTTTTTCATCATTTGGTTCAAGTTTATTTGCTAATTGAAGATCTTTTAATGCTAATTCATAATCATTTAAATTAGCATAAGCATAACCACGACGATATAATGCTTTAACATATTATGGATTAATTTCAAGTGCTGATGAACAATTTTCAATAACACTTAAATTATTTCCATAAATTAATTGACATGCTGATATATTTAAATAAATTGATAAAATAAGTTGATTAAAATTTTCTAAAATTTTATTATGTTCATCTGTTGGTTGTTCATTAATAAAATTTAATATATAACATAATGAACGATGATAAAGTTTAAAAGCTTGAAAATAATTTTTTTTCATGAAAAGATTTATTTGCATTTTCTTTATGTTTTAAACCAAAATTATAAAGATTATCAATTGACATTGAATAAATTTCTGGAAAACATTCAAATGAACTTAAATGAATAAAAATTGTAATTATTTGATTTTCATTTCTAAAATTAAATTTACAAAAAATTTATTTTTGAAGAAAAAAAAACAAAACAAATATTTCCTTTTTTTATACAAATCAGAAGAATAATTAAAATTTAATTGAGATAATTCATTTGGTTTCATTGTTATTAAACATTTGTGTACATAATTACTTATTACTGTTGAATAAAATCCAACATTAATATTAATTTCTTCATTAAGAGGAAGAAGATCATTATATAGATTTTCATTAAGTGCATAATCAATTGGTAAAAATTTAATAATTACTTTACAATTTGGTCCTAGATTAATTCATAGAATTTTAATATAAAAAAAAAACCTATTTAGTTATATACCTTCATTAGGCGCATAAAGACGTTGACCTGGTTCAATGATTGTTTTAGTAAATGTTATATCGTCTGGAAGATTATAAACAGTCATTTATAACAACAGATGATTTTAAATAATATCTACAGAAAGAAAATAGAGTAATAGGAAACAACAAATAGATGTATTGGTCATAAATCAAAGAATGTCCATGATGTATAAAAATAGAACATTTATTTATTTATTAGCTTTTAACAACTACGTATCAAATGGTCAATGTTAAAAGAACAAGATGTCTCTGATTATTAACAAATTTACGCGCTTTATTCTTTGCATAGATTTTGTTATTTATTCATATTATTATAGTTACAAATTTGAAGCTAAGAATAAAATTCTTTTTTCTTTTGTATATCACAGATATATCGTTTCACACTCTTTTGGTTGTTTTTCTGTTATGTTATAACGCAATTATTGCAGATAACGATACAAGAATTCGAAATAAAAATTTACACAAGTAATGATTCGTTAAAATTGTCTTCACTTTATATTGAAATCATAAGAGTTCATATAGTCTAAGGTCATTTATTGAATGCCAAAAATATTATAATAAAAGAGTCATTAAACATGAAAGATTACAGCCATGAAAATAAATACCAATGCATATTCAAGACATATTTTAATTAGAAGAGATTAAGTCATACAGTAGTTCTTGAAATAAAAGAGAACTGTTAAAATAGAATAGATGTGATTATTAGAAAGCTTTCCAACTGTGACTATATACGTCTCTAATAAATTTGTCTCTTCACATTGCTTGTTCTTATATTCATCTTTAACTAATTACAGTTACTGTTCAATTATCGGCTTAATCGTTCTATGAATATATAGTAGATGCGCATGCAAGTGTCAGGATATAGAACATTTACCAACCTACTCACTGCTGTACTCATGCCCTTCAATATTCGAACTTCATCTTATACAATATGCAGATGGTAATCTTTCCGCTACGGAACTTGCTATCATGTGTAGAGAATATGTGAAAATAAAACATACTGTTAAATAATCATGTTTTTTGTAAAATGTATTTCTTTCAATGAAGTAAAATGTCATAGGATTATTCAGTTAGCAAAATATCTCATTAAAATCTTTTGAGAAAATAATGGAACGAATTCTTACAAATTAAGAAAGGTCACAGTTGGAATTAGCTCGATTATTATATTGTTTGCATCTTTTATTTTTTTTGATTCGTTATCGTCGGCAATGAACTTCTTTTGATTTATTCTTGTTCAAACTATAAGTATATTATATGGTTAATTTGCATGATACTTGTTATAAATGAACATCGCCATTTGTTGAATAAAACAATTAATGAATTATTTTTTGAATTCTAATATGGAAACAAATTTATATTTAGTTACTATTATGGGATACATATTAACCTCTTTCGAATAAGCACTTCATTTAATCTATATTTAAATCTAACTTTGAGTAAGCACTATAAAAAAAATAGAATCATGTGTTAGAGACAATAACGATGGATTTCGTTGTTCACTGACTTGAATGATACTTTAAAAATTCAAGAGCACTTCAACAAACATCAAATAGGTCAATTAATTAAGATTAATTTGTCATTTCATCAAAGAATTTTTGATAAGTGATACAAAGTAAAAGTCCTATCCATAGATCAAATGTAAATATAATCATTTTGTCTGTAAAATTTAAAAAGTATCTATTAATTATTATAATAACATTTATAAGTAATGATGTGATACATGTTTAGTGAACGGATAAAATATGAAATTTAAATCTTAATATTTTTCAAATACCTTTGTTGATTGTAAATTTTATTATATTGAAAATAAAATATGTTTCCAGAGAATGATCACATATATAAAGAGATTTTTGAATGTTACAAAAGATTTAAACAGCTAAGCTCGAGTTCGAAATCAGGTTCAAAAATTCATTTCTTTTTCGGAAGAGACTCGCTAAAATCTGAATCTACATCTTCCTACAACACATTCATGTTCAATATCATTTGTATAAATACAATCCAAATTGTTCTATACGACAGAAGATTTTGGTATTAATGCTGGTCTAACAATTTTCAATGATGATTCTTGTTTATCAACTAATTGTTAAATTTTCTTTTTTAATAACATAATTATTACTCTTTTCAACTGAAAGAAAACTTTAAATGTATTTAAAAAAATACATAGAGACTGTGAGAAACGAATGAAAAACAGCTCAAGTCCAAGTCTTGATTTTTCAGGCTTGAATTCAATGCAGAAATTTATTTTTCGTCAGGTTTTCGATCTTAATTCAAGCCTAAAAAAAACATAGATCTACAACATTTCTAAAAATATATTGAAATATTTTACATAGAACATTTTTTTCCTAATGAACACTTTGTATTCGAGTAGTTTTATTTCACTTCTATTATCGTTTTTTTTCTCTGTTTTACAGCAAAAGAAAAATAAATATAATTTTGATAGCGTACATTAGAAAGCGTCTACGTTGTCTTGTTCTTTCTTTCCTCGTCTGAATTATGCCATATATATATATATAGAGAGAGAGAGAGAACATCAGTATTTCATATGATTACAATCTAAACTTAGTGCACATCATTTTGTTGCATAATATGGGTCAGAAATATACTCATCCAATTCCTTGTTATCATGGATATGCTTCTTTACCACCATCGCAACGACAATGTTGTCGATCTCAACCTTTAATCTTAACTCATACTCGAGCAATTCCATTAAAATTTGAACTTCGTCATTTCATTCGACGGGATCGACGTCATTGATTGTTATATTATTTTTATTCTTTTGTTCCAAAGGTGATATTAAACATTTGTTTTCTTTTTTTTGTTCATAAAAATTAGTGTTATGAACACTTTGTTTTCTTTTTTCTGACGTGTAAATTAAGACTTATATTGAATTTGAGAGTATCAAATCTTCTTTTTGTTAAAAAAGATCTCATTAGTTTTTGAAATTTATTTTATCGTCAATGTCTTATGTTTCTATATATTTAAAATATTTTTAGAATAAAATTAATGCCAAATTAATTATTATTCTAACTTTTAATGTAATATTGCAATACATGTTTTTTTTTTACTTTCTCTATTTAATGATAATAGATAAAATAATTTTGATTACTACACCTTGTTAAGAAGTATAGGTTTGACTCTCTGAAATACTTTTCTTTGATAATTGACAGCAGGTTTTTTTTTTAATCATGATCAATAACATGTAGGATTGATATATAACTATGAAAATAGCCGAGTCATAAAAGTGAACAAGAGAATATTTCTATTAGTTTTCTGATGGTTATAAATTCTAGTCAGTTACAATAATGATTTAGTCATAATAAATGTATGAATTTAACTTAATTTTGAATAATTTATTCTAATGGAAAACTTTGATAATGAAAAATATTGCTTCCGAATTCATGAATTATTAATAATTGACTAAATTTAAAACATTCTATGAAGTAAAATGTTTTTCTCATTATATGGACAGAGCAATCTTTGACAGATCAACCCTCATAATTGAGCTTTTCATATGTAATATGGATCAAAATAAATCATAAGTTGTGTATAAATTGTTCAGTATGATGAAATAATATGTTATCAAAATGAAGACTTTTAATTAGATTTTTTTCTAACCATCGGAAGCTAGAATCGTAAAATCACATTTTCAAAGCTGAGATGCTTTTATTGAACTTCTAGATTTTTTAATATAGTTTTCAAATATAATAATTTGTTCACTGTGACATTGTATCCATGCATAACTGTCATGTCATTATTAATCGTGTCTTTTGTATTTTTTTTTCTTTTTAAAAGATTGAATTGATGAACATCTTCCTGGTTGCAAGCAGAGAACGCTCATGTTCTAGAAATGAAAAAAGATTATATCTCATCGTAGTCTTGATCTAATGTTTTCTATCGATGTAACGAAGGCGATCTTCTTTTATTAAAATATCATCTATTATATTTATCACAACAACAAGATATTTCGAATACATATCAATCAATGAAATAGTGATTAATGAAGGAAAACACAAAAAAAAAATATTTCTTACCAGTTGTTCTGTTCTTCTTGTCATGATGTTTTATAAATGTAACTGGAATTATTTCTGTTTCTATCAGGCGACCAATCAGTATTGTTTACATTCGATTCATAGTCTTTCACGTTTTGATAATGTAATTATAAATTCTATGAAAAGTTGTGGTAACCGTTTAAGGGAATCCAACGAGTTAAGGGAAACAGTGTAAAATGAATAGAGGTCATGGTATAGCTCTCATGGCGGACCAATAGGATTCGGCGTCTGTAAAGTATGGATGTTCCATATTTTACTAAAACTGAAGCTCATTGCTCCGCCATTAGAACTCCTATGTGTCCTCTATTCATTTTACAGTATTTCCCTTAACTCATTGGATTCCCTTAAACGGTTACCACAGTGTGGGTGTGGGTGTGGGTATGGTTTTGGTGTTCAGATTCACTCAACCCAAACCCACACCCACACCTACACCCACCCACACACCCATACCCATACCAAAACCCTACACCCACTCACACTCACACCCACACCCACCCACACCTACCCCACACCCACACTCACCCACACCCTCCCACACTCACACCCAGCCACCCCCACACCAACGCTCACCCACACCCACACCCACACCCATGCCCACACCCATACCGCCACCCACACCCACACCCA